CTCTGAGTCTTGTATCTCAATGAAGACCACAATGTTACCAAGATCGACGTTTACAACTTCAAATGCTCTTTAAATCAAACACAATAAAGAAAGTCCAGACATTTTTTCATTCAGCGAGAAAGACGAACTCCACTTCTACTCTCACCACAATTGCATAAGTCAAGAGAGCGAAAGGCAACTTTCCTTAAACTCTTCAAATAAACTCTCTTTGGGGATCAGGCCACACGGAAGAAAATAGCGCAGCAGGAATTTGAAAAAAAAAAAAAAAGAAGTGAGAAACTAGGGATGAAAGCAGGAAAGGACCTGAGCAAAACATTACCAGCACCGTAATAAAACACACGCACTGTCAAACTTTAGACATTTGAACGGAATCAGGGAAAAGGAGTCAATTTAGTAAGTGGGGCTCTGGCAGGGGTTTTCTTTTTCTTTTTCTTTTTTTATTTTTAAAGAACGCACACATGTGTGTTGGATGGATGGATGGAAGGATGGACACATGACTTTTGGATAAATGGAGCTCAGAATGGTTTACAATTTTATGTGAGTCTGCTTCCAGTAAGTCTGAAACTGTTATCAATTAAGGGCCCACTGATGCATTATATACAGTCTGAAAGAACCCGAGGGGCCATCTTACAGATGTAAATGTCAAACATGTGATTGCCCATGGAGTACACTAATTCTGCTCTGAAAGGATACGTGAGCTGAAGAGGAGGAAAAGGGGAGACTGTGAGGTCACCCTTCCCTAACCATCATCTCTCTTGTGTTAGAAATGATGGCTCAAGCGTGTGGACCTTGGGATACAACCAGTGCCTGGCTAGAACGGCCCCAAACTTCAAATGCAGTCAAATTAGTTGTTAAATACCTAATATTGCCCAAAGCTGTTGTATTCAGCCCTGTCAACTGTGCCAAGAACTCTTGTTAGGTAGTAGCTTGCACTTTGAGACATGCTCTTAGAAATGCCAAAATTCAAGATTAAGTCTGTGACTGTATCTTGCCTACTTCTCTCCACATGCTACATTCCTAACTATCCTAATCCTCTCCCCAGTAACAAATTAACATTGAAATAAAACAGTATCTTGTAGGAATACTTGATGATTTGTGCAGCTGTTTCACCTTGGTCATAAAGGTAATCACAATACAATGAACAAGTAGGTCTTTAACTCCTGATCAATTGGTCTCCATTTTCAGCTGATGACTTTGCTTCCTGTTTCTCTAAGACAGAATCACTAAGGACATATGTTCCCAAGTTTCAGACCCTACACCCCCTACAGGCATCTCTACCCACCTATTTTTCCTTCCTTTTCTTACTACAAATGAACTCCATCTACTTGGATGCTAATGCTTGTGATGCCTAGCCAAGGAAGCTTTCATGCTATTCACATTGCTTTACAGGACCCACCCTTCCTTTAGCATATAAACTGCTGACCTTCTTGAGCCCATGGCCCTTCAGGTCTCCTTCAAGCAACCATCAAGAGTTTTTGGGCACACTGTCACCAGCACCTCTTTCCCAATCCCAAGTGGTTGAATTCACTGGATTCATTCTATTCCACCCAATAACCCTTGTCAAACTCACCAATAATCTACACATGGCTAAATCCTATGGTTGGTTTCCAAAACCCTGATCTTACAGGAGCAGGACCAAATGATGGTTTGATCTCTTCCTCTTTCTTAAAACACTTTCAAGTGTTTTTGGTTCTTCCCCTACCAGACCAGCTCTTCCCTCTTAAAGTCCTTTCTTTCCTCCTGCCTCTTCTCTCAGTATTTCTAAGTAGTAAAGTACCTTAAGACTCAGTCCCTTGAGTTCTTCTTTTCAACCAAGTCATTTGCTACATAATCTTAATGAGTCTCATGATTTAAGTTCTATCTATACATAATGAATCTCACATTTATGTCTAACCAGGTCTAGTCCCTGAACTCTAGACTTGAATAATCAACTCACCCATAATATCCTTTTATATGGAATCTAATTAGCATCTCACACTTAGCTAATAAAAAAACCAAACTATTGCTGATCCCTCAGCTTCTCTCAGGATCACCATCACAGTAAATGTCAACTTTCCTTACTGACAGGGCTAAATGTCCCAGAAGCCCTTCTTGACTCATACTCACACACCATCAAATGTCCTCCCCTCTGCTGTTCCCTTATCGAATCAGTCAGCAAATCCTTTGGTTTATCTTCAAAACAGATTCAGAATTCAACCATTTCTTACCACGACCACTGCCACTACACTATTTTAATATCTTCAGTACCTGCCACCTGGACTTTGTCATAATAATAACTTTGCCTTGAACAACTTACTCTTAGCACAAAAGCCAGTAAACCTTTTAGCCAAAGTCAAGCCACGTCTTCTTCCCATTGTCACCCCTCACTCTATGCCAACAGCTGCATTTCTCTCCCAGGAAAAATCCTTAGTCCTTACAGTGATCACTAAAGTCAGGTTCCTGATGATCCAGCCTCCAACTACCTCTGGTCTAGTGGCTTGCAGCTTCTGAGCACATCACACTTCAGCCCAACTCACTCAGACCTCACCGATAAAACCTTTCGTAAAACAGCAAGTCTCCCTCCTCTCAACCCAAGACAAGAATATTCCCTTGGTCTGACCCCTGCACTATTCTTCCTTGACAACACATTTACATATGTTGTGCATATTGACATCTTCTGACCTAGCACAGAGGAAATGTCAACCACATAGAAGGAACATAATAAACATTGAACTTCTCTAACTGTATATTATTCCAATATGTATGTAGAGAGGCTATCATTTAAAAGAATGCCTCTGGTATTCACAAAATAAAAAAAGGTTCTCCACTATTATTAGTAATGATAGATACCAACAGTAAGTTGACTAACAGAAACAATGAACAGACATAAAACAAGGCAATAAGGATATAGCCTGACTATAGCAGTTCCCAGATCCCACAAGGTTGAGCTCATAGGGGTAGGTGACATAGCTAAGGAGCATCACTGTGGACTCCAACGTGGCATGCACTACTTGCAGCCTGTCCAAGTTTGCCCTTTGAAAAAAAAAAAAAGAAAAAGATTTACTTATTTTCATTGCAAAGTCAGATCTACAAAGAGGAGGAAAGACAGAGAGCAAGACCTTCCATCCATTGATTCACTCCCCAAGTGACTGCAACAGCCTGAGCTGAGCTGATCCAAAGCCAGGAGCCTCTTCCAGGTCTCCCATGTGGGTGCAGAGTATCAAGTTCTTGGGTCGTTCTCGACTGATTTCTCAGGCCACAAGCAGGGAGCTGGACGGGAAGCAGGGCCACTGGGATTAGAACCGTCACTCATACAGGATCCTGGCACATCCAAGGCAAGGACTTCAGCCACTAGGCCACCATGTCAGGCCCCAAGCCTGCCCTTTCTCATGGTCCCATTCTCATAGCTAGGAGTGATTTCCACAGAAACTCAACATCAGGTTCAGGAATCTAGTTTCAGAGACAGTTTGAGGGATGCTGTCTGCCAGAAGGGACAGAAAAGTATTTAAAAATAGTTTATAATTCCTTCTTACTTTATTTTTTCCTGATTAGAGAGACTTAACTTAAAACTAAACATATCAATAATAAAGTGAAAATATCCAACAAAAGATAGCTGTCTCCATTTCTGTGCAATAAGCTGAATTATTAACTCAAATAGATATATCAAAAATGAATGCCAATCATAAAAAGTTTACACACAATGTTGACTACATTGTGTCCTTTGGGGGCACATTTAAATCTGATCACTGAAGGTTGCTATTTCAGCCTTACGTCTTCACATCCAGTAATGCACATTGTATACTGACCATTTCTGAAAGAAAGTACTACATTCAGGATCCTGGAGAACTGAGTTCTCTCCGTGGACTCTTCCATGGTTTTCCCTGCCCAGTCCATGCTCTTATATACTCTGTTCTGTCACAGGTTCAATGCAGAAATTCTCATTTAGCTTCCTTTGTGGGAGTAAAGCCCACCTACTCCACAGTCTTCTAGAATCTCTGACCAATTAAAAAATGGCTAAATTCAATATATAGATCCAAGTGATATGTACTTAGCAGAATTCTGTTGGACCATTTATCTAACAGCTATAATTTTATTATCTCAAAGAAGCATAAAACTTAAAGCTCTTTCTTTCCAGACATAATAGGTTACCTAGTTTGTGTAAATCCCAAAGACTACCATTGCTCCCCCAAACAGAGATTAGATTTGGACCTGAAAGCAAATATTCTAGGTTGCTGGATTCTTCTTTACGTGTCTCTAGACTTTGAGAAATCCAGTTCTTCATGCTTAAGATTAGATTAACTTTCTAGCAATAAACCAAGCCACAGTACCTCTCTTGGTTCCAGATTCTACCTTGGTAAACATTTGAGTGTTGAGAATTATGTGAATTGCAAAATTTTTTACAGTTTTAGAAGGCAAAACCTCTGGGTTCTGATGCCCATAAGTCAACAAGCGTACATAAGGAAAAAAAGATGCTATGGAAATCTAGGTCAAGAAAGCAAAGATATGTATTACATTAGAGCAATAAACACCTATAAACACCTTGCTAGTAGTTATTATCACCACACAGAATTTAATTCCAGTGAGACTACAAGAAAGCGCAACCTTAACAGATACAGTATTACGGCACCAAGTTTATCAGTAGAAAACTTGTTCCATTCTTCCAAGAAAATCCCCAAACAAATGAAAACTTAATAGGTAACATAACTGAAATCAGCAACTCCTACTAATTTCCAAAATTAAAAAAATGTACAACATTTAAAAAATGAGATACTGAACTAAAACACCAACAAGGTATTTGGCATCTGCCATGTGCAGTTTCAGAGCAAATGCTTAAAACATGTCAGTATGATGGCCTGTCTTCCACTCTTTATTTTGAGGATTAACTTTCCAGCAAGAAACACTCATTAAGTAGTATATGGCACTTTTCTTCAAAACTTACAAAAGCTGTCTGAAGTAATACATGTATTCCATTTATTCTGGTAGAACACAGTACACCTTGATAAAACCAACAGATTACTGACCTGAATTTAAGTCTCGCCCTGGATTAAAGGCCCGACTGTTAACAGTGGTAGAAAGTCGATCACAACTAATTGTTCTAGACACATTAGTGTTAAAGTTTCCATCAAACCTGAAATAGAAGAGAATTAGAAACCATTATTTACTTGTGATTCAACACAGAAAAGCCAACCAATAAAAATAATACTGATAATGTATGTCAAAGAGTTCATAATGTAGGAAAATTGGGACTTGTGAGCAAACATTCACAAAAGTAATTTCAGAACAGTGTGTGTGCACATGGGGGTCAGGGTTTTCTGTAACTACGGAGTTTAGAAGTCAAGTTCAATTTTAGGGAGATTAAAAAAAAACAACACTGATCTTGGAACTAACTTTTCCCTAATAAATTTGAGTTGGTACTATTGATAAAAATCACACAGAAAATAGATGATAGAATATATATTAGAACTACAAAAATTCAGACTTAAGCTCTGACATTACATGTAAAACAGAATTCTATCTGAAAACCAATGCCAGAGTACACAAACAGTTGTGAAGAGGAAAAAATGGCTAGGGAGGCAAAGGTCTGGTTTCGAGTTTCTTTCTGCTACTAAAAAACAGGGTGACCTTAAAAAAAACTATTCAACTAGTCTGAACCCCAATTTCCTTACTTGAAAAAAATGATAAAAACTTATTTTCCAAAAAAATTAGAAACAATGTATGGAAAATTTCATGGTACATGATATTCAACTTGTATCTGTTCGATTGTAATGCAAATAAAGCTATGGTCTTTTTGTTTTTTACTTTCAGTGGATGTATCAGGATGCTACTTGACCTTTAACAAGGCTAGTGCTATGGCTTCCAGTTGCTCAATAAACACTGAAGAGGAATCAACAGCCCATGTGCTAGACAGAACATCTGCACGACTAACAGGAAAATGTGCCAACAAATTTATACATAGTCCTTAAGAGTCAATTAAATCCAAAAATGATGACAAACATTTTGAATTTCTAACTAATGCATTTGGGATTTCAAATACCAAGGACTCCTGATGTATCTAAGAGATTTTTTTCAAATGAACATAACTGGAGACGAGGATGTTAAAATCTTGCACATCCTATATGCCACTAATCAAACTCCATTAATAACCTGGGAGAAACAAGATCAATCAGGATCAATTTAGTGATTCAAATGAACTTTGATTATCTTTCGAGCTATTAAACTGAGCTGATTGTACTGGCAGGGGAACTAAGCCTTCACACCCTGAACTGGTTTCAACAGCAAAAGTTAAACACTCTTGCTTCATCACATATCTCATAAGAAGACGTAGCTGGATATCTAGGGACCTTTAGTCCATCCTCTGTTAAGTGCAGAATTATACCAAGTATGTCAACTGGGCCTTAGAGGACACAGTTGCTTCACCAACATGGCTGCTCTTCCTTGGACATGCTCCAATTTGTCTAGATGAGAAGAGTGCTGCCTTAAAAGTCACAGATGGAGAGAAAAAGAAGAGATTAATGCAGCAGCAGCTGCCTACGTGAATGCAGGCCAAGTTGTATCACTATCATCTCACTTTTCTCCATGTGTTAGCTAGTCACATTAAATCTATTTCCTTGCAAACAACTTTATAAAAGGCCAGATAATAAATATTTTAAGCTTTGTGGGTCCTAAATCTCTTGCAAACACCGAGCTCTGCCATTAGAGTGAAAGCAGCCACAGAAGACAAAAAAGATTGATTGCGGCTGTACTGCAGGAAAATTTAGTTTTTAAAATTAGGTGGTGTGGCCAGACCACTACGAATCTAGACTACGGAAATTCAAGAGAATTCTGAGATGCTGAAAGTATATTATTTTTACACTGTCTGGTATGGTAGCCACATGTGGCTACTGAGCATTTGAAATGTGAGCAACAAAGAAGGCATTCCATTTTCTGTTTTATCTACTCTTCATTTAAAAGTAAATAGTCACTAGACAGTGGATATCATATTGAACAACGCAAATCTAGGTTCCCCTGATGACTTCCCTGGTCAATTTTTCAGGTATGTGTTCATAAGTGACTTTCTCAGAACAGCTCCTCCTGGTAATGGATGACTTTTCAAGTCTGCATCAGGTGCCTTCACATTCTCGCAGAGCAGGAGCCATGATTTAAAATGCCTGGTTACATTTGTATTCTTCAATAATCACGGCCCATGAATAAACAGAGTCCCATGACAGCAGGCATCATGTCTCATTGGTTTTGTCCACTTCATGCTTAGCAATGGTCCTGCTAAAGGTAGGTATTCAGGGGCTGTCTTGTGGTGTACCAAATTTAAGCTCCTGCGGAAAGTAGCAACTTGAGCAGCTAACTGACCAATCATCTCAGCACACTGTTAAGTGTGGGGCGGCCCCCTGCCACCTGGTGGGGGCTCCAGAGCCAGGATGCCAAGAAAGTCCGAGTCCAACCCTAGGGTGCATGGATTTCTCGGGCAGTGGTAAAAATGAAATCTGGCTCTTGAGACCACAGAAACTTGGGAACAACTAACGTGAGTTGTTTCATTTTCTTTCCTAAAAAGATCACTTCTAAGAGAACTAAAGAAAACTTTTTATACCAAAAATGGTGGTGACTCATTAACAGAAGTAGGTGCTCGGTAAACACTGGTTAGTCATAAAATGGTTTCACAATGTAGTACTTGTCATCAATAATCTACCCAAGCTTCATTTCCCATGATCTAATCCATGCTTTTCTGACCCCTACTGGGATGCTCCTCAGTGTCTACTGCACTCATTCTCCAATGTCCAGCACAAGCCAATCTCCTTTCCAGTCTCCACTGTGATGAGTCCTTCCATCTTATGGCTGACTTCTTCACTGTGTCCTTTCCACATTTAAAAATCTTGTTTTGAAAGCAGGGTTACTATGGTATCATAGTTACATCCACAAGATGCAGATAAGCAACACTGTTCACTCAATAGCACCTGCATCTCACAATGGTTTCAACTGCTTCCAGTTTTCTTCTCTCACATATCCTGAATCTTAGCCACATATTCACCAGCAAAGTCAACTCTAGAAAAGCCCAGAAAGCCTCGTCCTGCTTCTCTCACTGGATCTGCCACTGCCCTGCCAGTCAGGAGAGGAGGTGGGAGTCAGAGGGGCTTCTGGGATCAGGAGGAAGAGCATGTGCAGGATTGGCGGGATGCCTGGGAATATCAGATGCAAAGTGTAGGTGACGTAGGATAGTGAAGGTTAATCTCTCTCCCTGCTCCAGTCTCAACGTCCTAATGCCTGTTTCTCTTATTAGACTCCAAACACATGAGAAAAACACACTTTGCTGTTCGGGTTCTTCTAGATATTCCCAGGTCCCAGAGGAACGGCTGCCTTGCCAAAGACAGGAATGCATTTTATATGTGTGTGCGCTTTTGAGAAAGTGATTTATAAAAAAACAAAACCCAAAACATTATATAACCTAATTTTGGGACTGTGAAAAAGGAAGTTCATGTTTAAGATACTGTATAAAGACGTGTCAGTGACTCTTAGGAGTTACCTGAAATATTTTTTCCATTGAGTAATATATTAGTTCCCAGGCAAGCACATGTGTATAATTTTAGCCTTATAGAAAGAGCAAGAACTAATAACATCATTGATTTTCATATAAAATGAGAAGGTACTCCAACTTAAGAGGTTTGGTTTACTTCATTCTTTATATCTGTGCTTTAAAAAGTTAGTACTGAAGATAGAAAAATCCTATCTAAATCTCCTTTAGATTCTGGCTCTAAAAAACTGGTGATATTGGATTATGCCTGTTTTCTATATTTATTTTCACAAGATAAAACCACTGCTTGAAATATGGTTTCAAGAGAAATAACTCCATCTCTCCAACCCCACTTTAAAAAAAAAAAAAAAACTTCCTTCTGGATTTACTTTCATGAACAACTGATCGAAACTGCATCCCGAGGGAGAAAACAGAACTGTGACTCCCACTTTGATCTCTTCCCCATGGAGAAATTCACTCCCTGCCTGCCTTGCAAGATGTTCATTTGATTGACGTTTGCTCTGATGTGCAAACTGCTTTGAACTTCAGACATTTAATTCCCATCAGGCTCCAGTCATTTTTATTCTCCTTCAACAGGATTTACAAGCAGGAGATCAGCAAATGTAGAAGATAAAATAAATTTGCAGAAGCTTTGAATCTTACATCAAAACAGTATTCAAGTGAGTTCCAATTGGATTTCATTCAGCCTCGATTCACAGTGTAAATCAAGTTTTCAGTGGCGCCCCAGTTAGAAAGGAAGAAATATAAAGGACACACACACACACACACACACACACACACACACACACTCATTCACTCACTCTAGTTGGGGTTTACTTCCTGAGTCCCTCTTGGTCTTTGTTGAATTTCCTAGGGAAGGTGATTTGTCAGGGAAATCACTCAGAATCCTGGGCTTTCCCTAACATTTCCAAGGAAGCCTGCCCAATTTACCACACAGCAAACAAAAACCACACCCCTAGTGTGTGTTCTAAGGGCGGTGGTGAAATGTGGCATTGTTCAAGGATACATTTCCAAGGTAATGATTTAAAAAAAGCAAATCCCTGTGGATTTCTCAGAAGAGCAAGGCTTACATTGATCATTGAGGCCATGTACAAAGCCAATGTAATGATGGCAAAGGGGCCAGGAATGTGGCTCATTCTTTAATCACAGCCACAATACTGAGCTAAGTGTAAAAGGTCAAAAGAAAAATCACCCATTCTTCTGAAAGCAAAACATCCTATCTGATAAGAAGGGAGTGTGGAACAAATACTGACAGCTTCTCATGGTGGTCACTGCACAGGCAGGCTCTGTCAAGTTCTTTTTTAAGAGCAGCACACACAGTCTGGGGAAGCCACGGAGGCACAAATCCCAAATCAGTAGCTGCAGGGGCTTTCAAAGCAATGTGTGGGTGCGGGCCGTCAGCAGGGTGAGCAGACCCCGGGAACCCTGCCTGGTGGGGTCTGGGTGACTGGGTGATGGCACGAACAGCCATCGAACCAGGCTCCTGCTTACATGGTCATTCTGGGAAGCAGCCGTTCTCCAAATATTTGAGCAACACCAGTTGAAAAGAATTAAACAAGAACCTCCTTATCTTCCACTTAACTACCCCTGAGAATAAAGTTAAACAA